TCTGTGGACTTCTGAATAGCTTTAGAAAAGTTATTTTCTGAGTTGGTAACAACTTTTTCTGTATCCTATATCACTTTAATCCATATTTGTTGTTTACTATTAGTATTATTGATATTATTAGGATTAAAAGTGGGGAAAAAACAGTATTATAGAAAGTGTGAAAAAATAAAAAAATATCCCATTTTCTTAGTGAAATTGTTAAAAATGTTTATGTATTTTAGACTTCTCCATAAATTATCATCAGTATACAAAGAGATCTTGCTTCTGCCACTGATATTTCAAAAGCAAATATTGTTTTCAGAATATATGTATTTTTCCTGCAATCCTGGTGATTTTATTAGACGAAATAAGCTGTATTTGGCTTAAATGTTTCTTTTGAAACTGTAGTGCTGTGCATTGGAAGTTGATGTTTATGTGAAATTTAGGAAGTGAATTGAGATGATATTGGCAATGGTTCATAAAACCTAAATCTTATTCTTAGTGATTCACCCTCCCCACTGAGTGGAGGAGGTCAAGGTGAAGTAACCCATATAACCACTGCGGCTTTGACTCCATTCCCAATGTCTGACTGCTAACCCTTTCCTAGTGTACTACTCTAGCTTACTCTGTGAGGAATCATTTCCCAATGTGAAGTGTTCATGTAACTTGCAGCCAAATCATCTGGTGGTCTGCTCTACTTTTTTCTACCTTAGTTAGAGTCTAGTAGAGTTTTGTATCTTCTGATCTGATAGGATGAACAGCTATACCTGCAATAACCAGAGAGCAACCTGTTCCAGAGTCTAGAGCACATGTGTCAAACACAAGGCCCGCGGGCCAAATCCATCCCACCAGGCCTTGCAATGTGGCCCGCACCGCGCTGTCATCACTGCACTCCGCTGCGTTTCCATCACAATGACAGTTTATGACTGTTCAGTAAACCATTCGGCCCGCGATTTAGGCTGGATTTTAGATTTTGGCCCCTTCTCTGATTGAGTTCCACACCCCTAGTCTAGAGCATTCACACAGGTAGCCCCTCCTGACTTTTAGTCATTTTTGGCCAGTGAGCTTCCTCCTGATGTCTGACCAGACTTTGTGAGATAGGAGAGAGGGCTAGCTATTGACCTTTCTTACTACCTCATTGCTTAGACATTGACCCTCCTGGTAGAGCAGGAAAGAAAAGGCACAGAATTCTAATCATTAGTAAAAAAGAGGAAAGTGAAATTACTGCACAGGTTGCAAAGATTTCAAGCACACTCTTTCCCATTTTAAAATATAGCATAAACTTAATCAACCTGGATTATGAGCAGCATGCTTGATACCTATGTAGATTAATACTTTCTTTTTTGTAATGGTCACATTATTTTTCCAAGTCAGACCTAGTCTTTTTCTTTTTAATAATTAACTACTAAGAAAATAGAGAACACATTATTTTCCCATAATATTGGAGGTTTACAAAGGATTTTACATGTTTTGCAGAATTGAGGGGGTGGGGCGGGGCTATAAAGGCACCAAGCTTGATGGACTGGCCCATTTGGCATTGGGGTACCACCTAATAGTTTGAAAACATAATAGAAGTTCCTGTCAAATTTAGTTCTATTTCCTATTGGTTTATTCTTTTTACATATAAGGAGCAACTTTCTCATAAAGAACTCAAGAGAATGTAACTAGAAATGTTGAACAATAACCACTTGTTAAACGTCAACAACAAATCATAAGCCAGGAGAAGTTGGGAAGGGAATACAAAGCAGGAACTAAGAAAAAAAAGGGAAGTGCAGTTGAGAGTTTAAGTCAAATTCTCATACTGTAATAATGCATTTCTGGTCTGTGTTCTGTTCCAGGCACTTCCTTTTTGTCTTTTGTAGAAAGAAATGCAGATGGTGTCAGTATAGACCTATTACCACCTGTGCAAACAACAATTGTCAAAACACTATAAGAAAGATTCTACAGCATCTTTAAAATAAGGAAACTTCCTTAAGAGCTCTAGAAATCATTTCTAATGTTCACATATTATGGCCTGAAGTAGAGGAAAAAGATTACTATTTTCACTTTTTAGTATGAAGTTTTATTACAATCGAATTGAATTGTGTAAAGTCTGGCCAGCGGTGGAGCTGCATAGAGAAAGCAAGCCTACTGATCCACAGATGAGAGCTCTGCACGTAGGAGGGTGCTGGGTTTGAGAGCCAGCAATGGGCATTTTGGAGATTAAAAGTAATATGACTCTATTTAAAGGCTGATAAATAGGATGTTTTCTTCATATTTCATATACCGCATGACAAATGAAGAAATCTAATTGTAAAACCAACTCTTTTAGGAATTGATAAAAAGAAATTCTACCAAGAAATGTGGATAGCTACTAAGCAAAGAAATGCCAATTTAAAAAGAACATGATTTCCATGTCTAAGTCTTAAACCCATTGTATTTTGAAACATGTCATAAGTTGAAGTGTAGTTTTCCTCCCTACCCCCATACTATATTCAACCATTTACCTTAGCATAATTTATTCATATTTCTTATTTTATCACCAACTTAATACTGCATTTATAACATAAGCTATATTATTCTTAGTTCTTTTGCTCAGTCTGTAAGCTGATTCTAGCATCATTGTATCAGTTTTAATGCTTTTATCTGTATAAGTTTTTTAAAATATATTTTTATTTCAGAGAGAAAGGGAGAAGGAGAGAGAGAGAAACATCAATGATGAGAGAGAATCATTGATTTGCTGCCCCCTGCCTGCCCCACCCTGGGGACTGAGCCTGAAATCCTGGGCATGTGCCCTGACTGGGAATCGAACCATGACCTCCTGTTTCATAGGTTGATGCTCAACCACTGAGTCATGCTGGCTGCTATGTAAGTTTTAATTACCTTGTTGGACAAGTGCTTACTCATTTCCCTTTTCAAAATTTGGCTAATCTGTTTATTATTTCAAATGAATTCAAAATTACTCTTCAAAGTTTAAAATACCAGTTTTAGATTTTGATTATGATGGCATTGAATCAATATATTATTTTGGAAAGATCGATATAATTAAAATATTTGGTCTTCTCACCAAGATACATTAACTTTTTATTTAGTTGAGTCTCTTTTATGTACTTCAGAAAAATTAAAAAAAAAATTTAATTCATGCAGTTTTAGGACTTTTTTTGTTCTGTTATTCCTAAGATATCTTTAAAATAAATTATAAATCTTGTATAATGGAATTTTGACATTTTGCTTTTGAATATATCATTTTGATTTAAATGAAGTTATTTAAAAATTTAAATGCCTTGTAAAGCTCTATAATACTAATTAGCTTTTAGTGCTTAGGTTTTGTAGGTAGATAATCATATTTGGAAACAAAATGACATTCCAGAGGTGTTTCTGCTTTATTGTTTTATTTATTTTCAAAGAATCTCGGCCTTGCGTTTTCTAAAAAATAAATAAGTTTTTCTAATTCATTATTTTCTGCTTTTATTTTAATTGTTTTATGCTTATTCTTTTTTTTAAAAATATGTTTTTATTGATTTTAGAGAGCGAATGGGAGATGGAGAGAGAGAACACTGATTGGCTGCCTCCTGAACACCCCTTCTCAGGAACTGGTGACCTCTGGGTAACCAGTGACCTTTCAGTGCATGGGGTGACACTCAACCGAGTCACATCTGCCAGGGTTCTTTTATCCTTACTCTCGAAACTCTTCTCTTCTTGGCTTCTGTGGAACTCTGTTCTCATTTCCTAACTCATTTTTTCTCTCACCCATCCTACCTGCCACAGGTGATGTTGCCAAACAATCTGTCATTGACCCTTTTCTATTTATATTTCCTGTCCTGCTTTTGGTAGTGACTTCAGAGCTCTTAAGATCTCAAAGTCCACTTATGATCATAGATAACTTGCCCTGATGAATAGCAGAAGTGTTTTTCTTTAATTGTGCTAATACACATAACATAAAATTTACCATCTTAACCATTTTTAAGTGTACAATGCACAGTGCAGTGAGTAGCAGAAGGTTTATTATGTATTTGGTTATGACCAAGACTTTATGAAGGTGATTCTAAGTTCCTGTTTTATGAAGGAGATTTAATTGCTCCCCGTTATTCCTCAACATTGGCCAGATGCTATCAGTTTTACCTTGTTAGGTCTCTGTTTTCACTCTGCTAGGCTACCAAGTCCAGGCCTAAGGCTCAAGCTTTGGATACTCTTATTTGCTCTCCCTCCCTTTATTTGTTTCTCCCACTCAAAATTAATATCCCTCTAGCACTAGATGCTACCAAATCACTTTTCTATTGAAAGTTTTCAAATGGTTTCTAGTAGTTCACAGAGAGAGTTCTGTCACCTGGCCTGCGGCCTCAGGATCTCACTGCAGCCTACCTCGTGGCTGCTGGGCTCAGGTGGCACATGGCGGGAAGTGGGCTGGTAAGGGATGGAGACACCCAGGGCCAGCTGGAGGAAGAGGTGGAAAGTGCTATCCTGCCAGACTGCTTGAGATTTCCTGTGCCTGTGTGCACTATGGTCTCTGTGTACTATGTGCACTATGGAAACGGGACACTACATTATAATCTAAAAGGCTAATATGCAAATCGACCCAACAGGGGAACGACCAGCCGCTATGACACTCACTGACGAGCAGGGGGCAGACGCTCAATGCAGGAGCTGCCCCTCTGGTGGTCAGTGCACTCCCACAGGGAGAGCCCTGCTCAGCCAGAAGCCAGGCTCTGGGCTGGCCAGCTCAGCAGCGGTGGCGGGAGCCTCTCCCACCTCAACACTAAGGATGTCCCACTGCTGGCTTAGGCCCAACATCCCCTGAGAGCTCCTGGACTTTGAGAAGGCTAAGCCAGGCTGAGGGACACCCCCTCCCCCCTTCCAGTGCAGAATTTAGTGCACGGGGCCTCTAGTGTTACAATAAACCCAATTAGGGGTATCAGAAACACCCACTGTAAAAGAGGCTTTATGGTTCCTGTGGAAAGGTCAGTAGTTGGTTTCAAAATGGTACCAAGTACCACTGCCCACTGGTGTCTCAGGGAGCCCAGCCAGCGGTCTGCGAGGATAAGCTTTGTGGGTTGGAATTTTGTCAACAGCCTTTAGTTTATATGTTAATCTATTGTTATTTCGCAGGACAAGCTAGTCAAGATGTCCAGGATCCCGAAGCACTTTGGACTGAGCTACAAAGAAGAATCGCACATGTTTAGAGAGCTTGAGAAGGTCCGCAGGAAGACCAAACAGGATTTTCAACGCTTCAAGCAGAGGCTGGCCTCCAAGACCCTCGTGGATGGAGTCCCGGTGGTCTGTGGCCCGGCCAGGCCCGGGGCCAAGGGGGGCTTTCCCCGCGCTCGGCCCCGGGAGCCGCCGGGGCTCCTGCGTTGGGCCAAGGACCCCGCGGCCCCCGCGGCGGGCCTCCTGCAGCGGGCGCTCCGCGACGCCGGGCCCTGGGGCCCCGGGGAGGGCGCCGCGCCCTGGAGGCCCCCGTTCCGCCCCCGGGACTTCTACCTGCGGAGCTCCGCGTTCCGCCGGCACCGGGCCTCGAAGGAGCCGCCGATCATCACCACCGGAGCCGGCACGTCCAGGCCCGTGGTGCTGAGGCCGCCCCCCGCGTGGAGGAGGAAGCCGGCGGAGCGCGCGGGCCGCTGGAGCCCTCAGCCCGCGGAGGCGCAGCCCGAGCTCCGCTCGTCCCCCGCCCGCGCCCGGTCCCCCTTCCCGGCCCCAGCCCGGGCCCGCGCCCGGGTGCACAGCTCCAAGGTGCCGGCGGCTCCGCCCGGGGAGGCCTGGGCCACCAGAGAGACAAAGGGCCGCGCGACCTCCAGGACCTCCAGCGCGGGGGGCGAGGCGGGCGGCCGGCGGCGGAGAGTGAGGATCCGCTCCCAGGTCCTGCGCGACAGCGCGCCCGCCACCCCGTGGGACACGCCCCGCGCCGCCTCCAAGGCCAGCGCCGACAGCCTGGCCGCCAGCGAGCGCCTGAGCGCCAGCGCGCAGTCCCCGCTGCCCGTGCGCCTGCTCCCCACGTCCATCGAGGAGATCCTCGCCTCGCAGCAGTCCGAGGCCCACCTGGCCTCGGACCAGACCATCAAAGAGCTCATACAGAGCGTCCTCGGCCAGAACTACGACATTAACATGGAAGTAGGTGCAAAGGAAGGAGACGGGTAGTTCGCCTGGGTCCATGCAACCTTAGGACACGTGCGTAAAATATCACAGTGCTTAAGGTCGTGTCACCAGCTAGGCGGGGAGCTACATAAAGCATGGCTGTGTTAGTCAAGGTTTTGCATTTTGCATTTGAATGTTTAAGTTTTCCACCCAAGGAGAGTGTCCTGTTTCCAAAGGGGGAAAAAATTCTGAGAGGTTATTTCAAAAACTGGCTCAGACAACAGTTATAGGCCCCGAGTAACACATCGCTGGTCACGTTTCCTTTCAAAGTCTCTGCGATTATTTAGTACTGAAATAACAGAGCAGATGTTTCATATGGAAAACGCAAGTCTTTTTTCATTACAGCTTAGTATTATTAGCAGTGAATTTATATCCTAAGAAGATCAATATATTACTATTAAGAAATTGAACTTGTAAAAGTTGTGTAACATTTTCAGGGAAAACCATTCTTTAAAAAAAAAAAAAAATACATATACCTGTATATATATGTATATATATATATATATATATATATATATTATTGATTTTTTTTTTACAGAGAGGAAGAGAGAGGGATAGAGAGTTAGAAACATCCATGAGAGAGAAACATCGACCAGCTGCCTCCTGCACATCCCCTACTGGAGATGTACCTACAACCAAGGTACATGCCCTTGACCAGAATCAAACCTGAGACTCTTCAGTCCACAGGCCGACACTCTAACCACTGAGCCAAACAGGTTTTGGCAAAACCATTCATTTAAAATGTTTCCTTAATTGAATTTATTGGGATGGCATTGGTTCACAAAACCATGTAGGTTTCAAGTGTACAACTCAATAAAAACGCCATTTGTACACTGTATCATGTGCCTATCACCCAAAGCAAAGTCTCTTTTCATCTCCATTTCTCTCCCCTTTGCTCACCTCCACCTACCCCCATTCCCCTAGCACCACACTGTTGTTCTCTCCCTCTCTCTCCCTCTCTCTCTCTCTCTCTCTCTCTCTCTCTCTCTCTCTCTCTCCCACTTTGAGAATCAAACCTGTAACCTCTTGGTTTTCTAAGTTGATGCTCAACCACTGAGTCACTCGGACCCTGCAGTACCACTGCTTTTTTATCTACTACCTACTGATGGCTCTTGGGTTGTTTCCAGATCTTGGCTATTTTAAATAACACTGCAGTGAACTTAGGGGTGCATATATTCTTTTGAATTAGTGTTTTAGGTTTCTTCAGATATATTCCCCAAAGTGGGATCACTGGATAAAAAGGCAATTCAATTTTTAATTTTTTGAGGAAACACTGTTCTGTTCTCCTCAGTGGCTGCATTCCCATCAACAGTGCACAAGGGTCCCCTTTCTCCACATCCTCACCAGCACATGTTTATTTATTGATGACTAGTGGCCTGGTGCACAAATTCATGCACAACAAAAGGGAATAAATTAGAAAAAATATTTTAATATCACTATTTGCCCTTTCTCTATAATAGAAGTGTCAGAGATGAAAGAAAATTAGTAAAATGTATATGAAAATAATATATAAATGTATTAATAAATAAACAATAACAACATGATATAACAACAACAAGGACATGATATAAAAACAACAAAAGAGTGAAAACACTTTCAGAGTGCTTGACTGATTTTCCCTGTGATGAAGTATTTATAACTTTAATGTCACATGCTCTTTGAAATCAAGAGAAAGCAACATATGACTGAGCATGTCCGAAAATGGATTCAGGTAGGAATATTCCTACTCTGTCTAGACTCTAGAGCTTTGTCCTTGTGATTTATTAATTGTCATCACAAATGCCAACATCATGGGAAACTGTCTTCAAATTAATTTAAATGGAAGACCAGTGTCAGATGGGGACAAATAAATTCTTGGAATCAAACAACCTCTCCTTCTGCAGATCCTGTTAATACCTGGTGACAGGGTCCAGGGTGCGGATGAATGGGATTCTGGGCTATCAGGGCACAGACAGGAAGCTGACCAGTGGCCAATTCTGCAAGGGATGGGGCTCCCACCTCTCTGCTCTCAGGGTCAGGGGTGTGGGTGATCGGGAATATGGCTGTCAGGGCACAGACAGCAAGCTGACCAATGGCTGATTCCATGAGGAATGGTGGTCCCACCTCCCGCTGTCAGGGTCCAGTTGTGGGTATCCGGCTCCCTCCTCCTTCCTGTCAGGGTCCGGGTGTGGGTGAATAGGATTTAGGACTGTCAGGCCGCTGACAACAAGGTCTGGGTAAGTGCTCGTCATATCTATTGTCTGGTTCTTGGTCGTTCTATGCCATAACAGTTGCCCGGCTTTTATTATATAGGATAGCCATTCTGACAGATGTGAGGTGATAACTCATTGTGGTTTTAATTTGCACATCTCTGATAATTAGTGATATTGAGTATTTTTTCATATGTCCTCTTGGAGAAGTGTCTGTCTAGGCCCTTTGCCCATGTATTTTTTAAAAATTTTATTTTAAAATTCTTTATTGTTTAAAGTATTACATAAGTCTCCTTTCCCCCCCATTGACCTCTCCCCTTCCACTCCTACCCTCCAGCACATGCCCTCACCAGCCAACTGTCTGTGTCCATTGATTATGTTCATACGCATGCACACAAGTCCTTTGGTTGATCTCTTACCCAACCCCGGCACCCCACTCCCTCTCCTACCTTTCCTCTGAGGTTGGATGGTCTGTTTGATGCTTATATGACTCTGGCTCTATTTTTTGTTAGTCAGTTTATGTTGTTCATTGTATTCCACTGATGAGTGAGATCATATGATATTTATCTTTCTCTGACAGGCTTATTTCACTTAGCATAATGCTCTTCAGGTCCATCCATGCTGTTGCAAAAGGTAAGGGTCCCTTCTTTTTTACAGTAGTGTAGTATTCCATTGTATAGATATACTACAGTTTTTTAATCCATTCATCTGCTGATGGGCTTTTAGGCTGTTTCCAAATCTTAACTACTTAAATTGTGCTGCTATGAACACAGGGGTGCATATATCCTTTCTGATTGGTGTTTCTGATTTCTTGGGATATATTACTAGAAAGGGATTACTGGATCAAATGGGAGTTTGAGGAAACTCCATACTGTTTCCTGTAGTGTCTACACTAGTCTGCATTCCCACCAAGAGTGCACGAGCATTTGTTGTTTGTTGATTTGTGGATGACAGGATTCTGACAGGTCTGTTACCAATTTCTTAATTGTTGTTTGTCTTCTTGGTGTTGAGTTATATAAGTTCTTCAAAATTAATCTATTATAAGATGTATCATTGGCAAATATGTTTTCCCAATCAGTGAGTTACCTTTTTTGTTTTGTTGATGTTGTTTTGTATTTTCTGTGCAAAAGCTTTTTATCAATAGTTTGATGTAGTCCCATTTATTTATTTTTCCTTTGTTTTTCTTCCCTGAGCAGATATGTTCACAAAAATATTGCTATGAGACATGTCTGAGATTTTATTTTCTATGTGTTTTTTTCTTTCTAGGATTTTTATGGTTTTGTGACTTACATTAAGTCTTTAATGCACTTTGAGTTTATTCTTGTGTATGGTAAAAGTTTCATTTTCTTGTATGCATCCAGTTTTCCCAGTATTTATTTAAGAGACTGTCTTTACCCTATTTTATGTTCTTGCCTACTTTGTCAAGTATGAATTGACCGTAAGGTGTAGGTGTACTTTTGTGATCTCTATTCTGTTCCATTGATCTATATGCGGGTTCTTGTGCCAATACCATACTGTTTTGATTACTGTGGCTTTGAAGTATAATATGATATCCGGTAGTATGATACCTCTAATTTGGTTCTTTCTCAAGATTGCTGAGACTGGTTGGGGTCTCTTACAGTTCCTTATAAATTTTTGGAATATTTGTTCTCGTTCTGTAAAATATGCCATTGGTATCAAGATAGGAATTGAGTTAAATCTGTAGATTGCTTTAGGTAGTATGGGCATTTTAGTGATGTTAATTTTTCCTATCTATGAATACTGTATATGCTTCCACTTATATGTAGCTTTCTCAATTACTTTCTTCAGTATCCTAGAATTTTCTGAGTATAGGTCTTTTAACTCTGTGGTTAAATTTATTCCTAGGTACCTTATTTGTTGTTGTTGTTGCAGTAATAAGTGGGATTGTTTTCTAAATTCCTCTTTCTGGTAGTTCATTATCTATCTATCTATCTATCTATCTATCTATCTATCTATCTATCTATCTAAAGAGCCAGGGTTGTAACATCCAAAATGATCAAAGGCTCGACATGAATACCAGGCTGAGCAGGCAGCAGAGCAGGCTGAACTACTGACCTCTCGGAGAGAGAGAGAGGCAGGGCTGATCAGCAGTGGCCTCGCCAGCAGCCAAGCCTCTTTCTCTCTCCCAGAGGCCAGCCTGGGGTGACTGCTGATCAGCCCTGCATCTATGATCAGGCCCCGAGATAGGCCCAGAGATCCTGACGAGCATAGACACCAATCAATCAGAACCAAATCTGGGTGAATTGCAAGGAACCGATGGCTGCCTGAGAGTCAGAGCTTTTGACATAGAAATTGACCAATCAGAACCAAATCTGGGTGAAGTGCGAGGAGTCAATGGCTGCCTAGGAGGTGGAGCTTTTTACGCTGACTGGCATAGACACCCTCTAATCAGAACCTACTCTGGGTTAACTGTGAAGGCAGAACCTAAGGTGGGAGATGAGGAGGGGTTTTAAGGGAAACAACTATTTAGTGTAAGGTGTTAGAAAATGATTCAATTTTTTAATGACCAGTTTGGCAGTATAGTGTATATGGCTGGCTATCAGTCCAGATACAGGGATTATGTAGTTTTGTCTGCCAAGACAAGAGCATCTTAACCTGCTGAAAAGGTACCCCCCCACTCCCAATTAAGCAATCCTATCCTATATAATCTATCTATACTAATAAAAGGGTAATATACTAATTAGACTGGGTTGACTGGCCATCTTCCAGATGTTTGACTTCCTTCTGGACAAAGCCATTGTAGTGGGGACTGAGGCAGAGGAAGTT